GTTTATGTACAGTGGAAGACTGTACCCTAAATGTTCACACTCCCAGATGTCTCCAACCTAGCTCAAAGAATGCTGGCAGCTAGGATTATATATACCTTTGGGCAGGAGACTGAAAAAGCCTTTTCTTAGAAATTTGACTCCCAAACGACAAGACTGGATGATACTGAATCTGGAAGCCCCAGGAAAGGGTCCAATCAGATCACCCTACAATTACTGAACCTCCCTTCCTTGCCACTCTCACACAGGAAACTCTAAAATCTCCCATTCTTAAGTTTAAATACAGGGTGGGACAAAGGTAGGTTTACAGTTGTTCTTATGGAAAAATAATACAGTAATTAATAAATAATAATACAAGAATAAACTTTCACATACAACTGTAAAACTATTTTCACCTTACCCTGTGTATACACCAAATGCAGCATCTTCTGGGGAAAAAAACACCACACAAAATAATAAATGGAAATAAATGAGAAAAACCACTTAAAGCGGTAAAATAATCTAACAAAGTAGCAGGATATAAAATTAACATTAAAAATCTATAGTAGTCTTCCCCAGAAAAGATATACAGCTGGCAAATAAGCATATGAGAAGCTACTCCACATCATATGTCATCAGGAAAATACAAATTAAAACAATGAGCTAACACTACATACATATTAGAATGACCAAAACCCAGGACACTAATAACACCAAATGCTGTCAAGGATGTGCAGCAATAAGAAATCTTAGCTAGTGCTGGTAATACAAAATGGTACAGCCACTTTAGAAGACAGTTGGCAGGTTCTTAAAAAATTAAACATACTCTTACCATATGTCAATGAAAGAAATGTTCAAACCTGTAGAGAATTTTTATTAGTTTTTTTGAGCCAAACATGGGAATTGCCAGGAAACAAAATCTCAATGGATTGAGAAAATGCTCCAGGTAATGGAAGCTTTACCACTTATTTTATACACCAGTATCAAAGGAGAAGATGTAAGGGGCTTACATGAATCCACTGGTGACAGATTAGGAAGATGGGAGAAAGCAAAGTGGGGAAATCTCTGAGATTGGCTAAAAAGTAAAAGGAATAGACATCTTTTATGTTTGTGGGTAACAGTTAAGAATTTTACAGCATATAGAGAGAGTATATGGGAAAACAAGATAACTATGAAGGGTTCTATGGACTCTGCTCTGGTGCAGTGGTTGTGCCCTGAGGGGTCTGGGCAAAAAAAGGTTACCCTGACATTCCAAAGGCATGTTATGGTAGGTGCAAAAAGACAACAAACAAAAACAAAACAAAACAAATAAAAAGACAATCAACAGCCCTAGCTGGTTTGACTCAGTGGATAGAGTGTCGGACTGCAGACTGAGGGGTCCTGGGTTTGATTCTGGTCAAGGGCACATGCCTGGGTTGTGGGCTCAATCTCCAGTGTGGGGCATGCAGGAGGCAGCTGATCAATGATTCTCTCTCATCATTGATGTTTCTATCTCTCGCTCCCTTCTCTCTTCCTCTCTGAAATCAATTAAAAAAAACCCAAAAAACAAAAAAACATACATCTATAGATTTGTGAAATCTTTAAAGGAATAAAACAGTCTGTGGTGATAATATATTCCCAGTTTCATTCTGGAATCTTACTGTTAATTAATTTACATCATTCCTTCCCCACTAATTTAAAGAAATTAAGACTACACACACACACACACACAGAGTTATAAAACTGAAGTTATTATATTGATCCTTCCACTTGACTTGTTATCTGAATGACAACTCAATGAGCAAATATTCATTGATTTCCTTCAGTATACTCAGCACTGGACACATTAAGGTGGAGGATGAAGAGAACAATAAATGATAAAACTGGTCTTTGATGTTCACCGTTTTTTCTGTTATGGAAAGTTCACCTTCCTCCCAAAGCATCCATTTCTGGTGACTCCCAATGGGCTCATAGGTATGTAGTCTACAAATTCTTATCATTTATCTGTTCATCTCTACTGTTCAATTCTTGTCACTGCTTCTACAATCACACTCTTCTCAGAACTTGCCCCTTCAACAGGCTTCAAATGGGAGAGGGAGTCTAGAAATTTCTCTTAGCAAATAATTTGGGGGGAGGAAGGGAAGACACATCATGTTTAATTTTTGTTTGTTATTGTTGTTAAGTGGCCAGCATCCAGAAAAAAAAACAAATAGGAGAATCCATAGAACAATTTGGTTTTCTTCTCTTGAAAAAAATCCTAGAATATGGCATTTGGGGTCTCTATTTTCATTTAGTTGGACCTAAACAGTAGTCTTTCTCTTTAGATGGGGCATGAGCTTCCAAATTTGTCACAGTTCTCCTACTGTGTGCTGTATTATACCCAGCCTACTTTATTCTACATATCTGCCTTGCCCTTGTAAGCATTTGTTTTCTCAAACCTTGATCTTTCTTAGTTCATGAGATGTACTGTGCTCTCTTATTTTTTTTTCCAAATTTAATCATCTGGAGAAATTGGGGCACATCTCCAGATTTGAGAATATTTTGTGGCAATATATCACACTCAAAATAGTGAGCCAAAAAGTAATACCTATTCTCTTTTAATTTAGGAAAAATTCTTTGCTCACCTCCTCTGGCATCTACTTCTAGAGTTAAGAAAATTCATTGTCAGATCAATTTATTCCAAAACTTAGTAACAGTGACCCTGACTTAATCATTGGTCCTGGTTACCATCTGTGTAGAAAATCTAGTGCAAAAAAATGCCTCCTTGTGGTTTGTCCTAATATTGCAGCACATAGAATAAGGCTCTTTCTGCAATTATATTGCTTATCCCACCAACATAATTATTTTTAAAAATAGTAATGTTGGAGAAAATTGTCCACTACTTGGAAATGGGCAAAAGAGATTACTGAGTTTAGCAGATTGTTTGATTATATAAGGTTGTGTATCTTTCTTTTTTTTTAAATCCTCACCAGAGAATATGTTTTCATTGATTTTTAGAGAGAGATGAAGGGAAGGGGGTGGGGGAGAAAGAGAGAGAGAGAGAGAGAGAGAGAGAGAGAGAGAGAGAAATATCAATGTGAGAGAGAAACATCACTTATTTGCCTCCCATATGGGCCCAGACCAGGTATTGAACCTTGTTTGGTTTGTGACAACACTCTAATCCACGGAGCCACCTGGCCAGGGCAGGTTGTGTATCTATGATCAACTCTCTATTGAGCAGGCTCTTTTACATCTCAATACCATAGAAATTAGTTCATACAAAAGTAGTAGTAATGCAAATAATTCTTATACATAACAATGCAAATTATTTTTGTCTCGTAGATATAAAATTGATTTCTGCCTTCTAGAAAAGATGACCACAAACATTTAAATTCGTACTTAAATTAACCACTTTTGTATCTATCAGCACATTCTTTTCAGAATTCCTTGTTATGTGTGTATCTTTCTGAAATTTTCCTTTGAACTAACTCCCTCAATTACTAATGAGTTGAAAATCTTTCTTTTAAAAAATGTTTTCTTTTTAATTGACTTCAGAGAGAGGAAAGGAGAGGGAGAGAAAGAGATAGAAACATCAATGATGAGAGAGAATCATTGATTGGCTGCCTTCTGCACACCCCCTACTGGGGATTAAGCCCAAAACCCAGGCATGTGCCCTGGCTGGGAATCAAACTAGCAGGGTGAGTTGAAAATCTTTCGCATGTGTTCATTTTATACCTATGTGAGAGTAAAAAAATATTTGTTTTTCTTTTAGAACATCATACTTTAGCAGTTAAATGTCTGGTGTTTAGTTCCAATTAAAAAACTCAGACAGGTTACTAAATATGTAAACCCAAATTACAGAAAAATTAGTGAGATAGAGAGAATATTTTGGGTATATTCTGACTGTAAAGGAATCTTCTCCACAAGGTTCAGTCTGCCCTCAAAATCTTTCTATTACTCCTTGGCTGTTTTTGTTGTTGTTGTTATTTATTTGCTTTGTTTTTAATCCACAAAAGAGAAAAATAAATTTTAGATATATTTAAAAAAATTAGGTGAGCAAGAAAAAAATCAGAGGAAAGAAATGAAGACTGATTCAAGAGCACTGTTTCAACTACGTCTTTCTATAAAGTCTATTTTCAGACCTAAATCTTGGACATCTGTGTGCTCCAACGTGAAGCCATTTTCCATCTCAGTGACCCTGTGACTTCTCTGGCTGTCAAAGAAGGACTTTAATTTACTGCAACCCAAACACAATAATAGAGCACTCTTTAACTTGTGTTTCATTTCTTTAGAATTGAGGAATAGCCATTTGGAAACTGAGATGAGAGTTAAAAAAGATAAGGTGTTTTCTTCAAGAGCCATTTGTCTAGTGTATTCACAAATATACAAAGATATTGCCATCTAGTGGTTTCATTGAAGAAATTCAGTAAAACAATTTTTTTTTCTCATGAAGTTTCACATTAATATTTTCTTTATGTGGTTCTAAAAAGACATTTGTTTTTAAAAAGCAATTATTAATATTCAATTAAGGTTTCAGATTTTGCCACTCTTCTCTGTATTTCAGGTTATATTCCATAACTATTAAATATGTAGGATATAATTTAGAGCAGGCAAAGATAGTTTTATAATTGAAGAAAATATTAATAAAAGACAATGTCTGCCCTGCCGGTGTTACTCAGTGGTTGAGCATCAACCTATGAACCAGGAGGTCAAGGTTCGATTCTCAGTCAGGGCACATGCCCAGGGTTTCAGGCTCGATCCCCAGAAAGGGGCATGCAGGAGACAGCCGATCAATGATTTTCTCTTATCATTGATGTTTCTCTCTCTCTCCCTCTCCCTTCCTCTCTGAAATCAATAATAATATATTTTAAAAAGACAATGTTTCACTGAAGAGATTGTCAGAGTTTAAACTACCTAAACCAAATAACAAAATCAAATTAATACTTCATATTAAAGTTTAAAAAGGAAGTATGTAAAATATAGTTTTGATTATAAAATAAACAAAGTTTTATGAGACTCTCCAACACAAAAAAACTTCGACATTTAAACTTATAAAAATTATAATATACTCTGGTTTCTTTTCAGATCGTATAAATCTTTCGCCTTTTACTAAAGATTTCCGTGGAGAGGAACAATAAAAAAAATTACATTTATAGATACAGCCTAATTTTATTTACAGATAAACAGAAAACCCGAACATTATCATTTTTTCTGCATTGGTATACATTTTGGTAGTCCTATGTAAAAAAGAATCACTCTGTTTTACTTCAGAACTATTTCATTTCTAATAACAATATGAGAAACCATAGTTCCCCCAAATATTCTTACTCCATCTGGCCATTATAGGGATTTTTCCAGGTTCCCCTTGGATTTTCAAATCATCATGAACCCAAGTATCACCTAAAGGAAACTACCCCCCACCCCCCTGCCTAGTTTCTGATTTCGCTTTTAAAGCAAGCTTTACACGTTGGGGACCATACTGCTTATAACGAATTTAACAGACTGGAGTTTCTTTTTCATCCTTGGTCAGAAAAGTGCCATGATGGAATCCATCCAGCCTGGGCCAAACAAGATTTATTTGTCTTTTCATGCCATCTTGTAAGGTAGATATAAAAGTCTAGATGTGAGATGCAGAAACTAGACGGAGGGACCAACAGGCTCAATTTATGAGCCCCGTGTAAAACAATGAAACCTTCTACACTGAAAAAGGTTCGGGGCACAAATTGCCATGCTACCCCTGCATAGTGTTCTAGAGGTAAGAAGAAAAGAGTATTGCTGTCTATACTCATCCTCACCTACATCTGTCCCCACATCCCCAACTGTTGTCATGCTTTAGGTAACTACAGATCCTGCTATAGTTGTGGAAAATAAGCACAAATTCAAAGTTTGGAGATGGTGTAAGGTTTTATCTTATCATCTAGTAAGAAAGCTGCATACAGGAAGGAAGCCATGTGAGTACACATAAGCCAAAGTTGGATGACCATAACCAAATTCTTTCACTACATTCCCAATTTTGCTGTAATGAAATAATTTAATAAAAGCAAAGAATCCTAGTAGATTAATAAGTATACAATCTACCTCTACATCTACTAAGAGTAAAGGGAAAAAATTAGACAATGGATTTTCTAGTTACTTTAAGTTAGTAGGCAAGTCAATCAAGGAAAAATAAAATAGTAATGCTAACCGTCAAGAGCTATTTGTAAAGTGTGTTGATAACCTCTTGAAACAGGTATTTGTCTAGAGGAAGTAAAACAGAAATGTCTACCAATGTGTAGAAATGTCAATCTTTACTCTATTTATATAATATATAGATCTATTTATTATGAGGGATAATTACTTCTTCAAGACTGAGTACAGAGCCCTCTCTCAAATACTGAATTAGAATCTATAAGGTTGAGGCTCAGCCATCTCTATTTTTAATAATCTTTCCAGGTCTCTCTGATTTATGTGTTTGAGAACCATTCTAGACTTTATTAACAAAACTAATGAGACTAAATACTCTTCATGGAAAAGGTTTAATGGTGATCAATGGTGAAAAAGTGGAACAACAGGTCAAAATTTATAGCCACGTAGCTGGAAGAGTGGCAAATCACCAATGAGATTCTGAATTTACAATACCATTTGTACAGGGAATAATTCTTTATTTTTTGAAATTAAATATTTACTAATGGAAGTTTTACATATGTTCCCCCCGCACCCCCCGTCTAGCTTTCCCACCTCCCCACAAGCCTTCACCACAGACTTCCTATTGTCTGTGTCCATGAGTTATGCATATAGGCATACAAGTTCTTTGGTTGATCTCTTCCCACCCAGCCACCCTCCCCTGACTTCCCTCTGAGATTTGACAGTCTGTTCCATGCTTTTATGTCTCTGGATCTACTTGGTTCATCAGTTAATTTTGTTCATTAGATTCCACATATGAGTGAGATCATGCGATACTTATCTTTCTCTGACTGGCTTATTTCATTCAAGCATGTCAAACTCAAAGGCTAACACAGGGCAAATAAACAAGGTTTAAATTTATGTGGGTCGCAAAAAAACAAAAGCTTCAATTTTCATAGAAATGTAGGTTTATTTCGATAGAGACATGCTGAATACAAAGGGCTGAAATAAATGAGTAATCAATTAATGTAAAATAATAGAATATTTTAATAAAAATTAGTATTTTTCTTAAACATTAACTTACCAGGCACTGAATAACTATACAAATTAATAAGCATAACACAAATAAACCTATTTTTTTTTTTGTTCTCTGAAAGCGAAATATTTCCTGTTGTGCACACCAAACAAGTCAGTACAAGACTAATGACATGGCTATCGGCTGCTGAAATATTCGCTGCTAGTATTAGTGGAGAGAAATGGTGTGCCTGCGCGTAAGGCACGTAAGGGAAATGAATGCAACACAATTACAGTAATCAGTCATTAACGAATGTTGTAGTTCGTTATTAATAATTATGTATAACAGGATATTGTAAAATTAATTTATGAAATTTTTATTAAAACGTTTCTTACATACCATCATATAGGCTGGGCCGCAGAAATATTCATTGTGGGCTGCATGCGGCCTGCAGGCCGTGAGTTTGACATGCTTGCTCTAGGTCCCTCCACGCTGTCTCAAAGGGTAAGAGATCCTACTATTTTTACTGTTGCATAGTAGTTTCTGGTATAAATGTACCACAGCTTTTTATATCCACTCACCTACTGATGGGCACGTGTGCTGTTTCCAGATCTTAGCTATTGTAAATTGCGCTGCTATGAACATAGGGGTGCATACATTCTTTCTGATTGGTGTTTTGGGCTTCTTAGGATATATTCCTAGAAGTGGGATCACTGGATGAAAATCCTTTTTAAAAATATATGTTTTTATTGATTTCAGAGAGGGAGAGAGAGAGAAACATCATTGATCAGCTGCACCCCTGGGGAACAAGCCTGCAACCTGGGCATGTTCCCTGATGGGTAATCGAACCATGATCTCCTGGCTCAAAGGTCTATGCTCAATCACTGAGCCACATTGGCTGGGCTAAAAATAATTCTTTAATGAATTTTATTGATACAAGTGGCAACCTGATAGAGGAAAGAGTGAAAATACTGAAAACTCAAACAGATGTTTATATTAATTCAAGAATTACTTATTGAGTATCAGCTACATGCTAGGTACTATGTTAGGTACTAGAATTACAGAGAGAAAAAGGTTTTCTCCTTAGGAAGCACTTATAATATAAAATGGTTTTTCAGTGGGAATAAAAATCACCTTGGGTACTTGTTAAGAATGCAGACACTCAGTATCTGATTATGAAGAATACTCATCTAATTAGTAAGACTGAAAGTAACAGACATGTATAATAAAAGTGCTAAGTTTTAAGAGCTATACAGAAATGCCATTTGATCACTGGAGGGAAGGTTAAATATCAGGAATAGTTTTTCATAAAAGATGATACCAAATTGAATTCTTGAATAAAACCCAGTAGTTTTCTAAATGAAAAAAATATGGGAAAAAAACATGGAAAATGGCATTGAATGATGAAAAAGCGTGGCCTATATGAAGTGCCAAAGAAGATTTCTTATGCTGAAATTTAGGAGTTGAGAGTGAGGCACAAGGAAAAACTGGAGAAATAAGCAGGACTAAATCCTTGTATCTAAGCCAAAGAGTTTTAATTTCACCCAGAAATAAATGGTGAATCACTGAAGTATCTGAAGTTGTGAAGTAGAGGATTCTCTATCAGAGCTGGGTTTTAGAAAAAGCATTCTGACAGTACTGAATGAATGGGATGAATGGCAGTCAGGGTGAGACAAGAAAGTAAGAATGGCAGGAAGACCCGTTAGGAGGTTATAATAATTCAAGCAAAAAAAAAAAAGTGAAATTTCTGCTTTAAAGAGTTGAGAAGAGAGAAGGGAGAAGTGTTAATGTGATTAAGTTGATGGGACGTGGAAAAGGGTGATAAAATTGGTGGGGTGGGAGGAAGAAGATGTGAAGAATGACTTCCAGGTTTCTGATTTGAGTGCATTAATCGAATTTCCTTGGTAATAGCATTTCCTCTTTTTAATTGGGAAGACTTTCCCTTTGCCTTCTCAGTGCTTAATATTTTTCACTTTAATTAGCTATATGGTTTGTTAGTGTTAACTATGATCCAGATGTTACTATGATAAACTATGGAAGATGCTGTCAATGCCCTGCCCTTAACTGCTCAGCTCCCTTCAGAGATCACCTGTAGCCTTGGTGGAAATTCCTGGGAAAACCCAAAGCTTCCTATCTCAAGCCTGAACCTTTCTGGGTAAGGGCTTTCTCTGATCCTGGAGTGTGCTTGACCTGTGTCCAAGGTAAGCCAGAGTGTCTGAGAGTCAATCCCCCTGGAGCAACCCCCAACCAATGAGGAATGGAGATAGGGGAAAACTACCCTTCCTAGCTTCCTAGCCTTTCAAGGAGGATCCCCAGCAGCATCCCCTTCCCTGTCTCACTTCAGTACACCCTCATCACGTTTCCTGGGCTCTTTTCCCAAATAAATTATTTGAACCCAAATCTATGTCTTAGAGTGGGAAATCCAAACTAAGGTACTCAATTCTCACAACAACCCAATGAAGATGGTAGGAACTATTCCTGTCACCATTTTATATATGTGCAAACTGATGCTTGTGGAGGTTAAATAAATTGTCCATATCACTTAGCTGGCAAATGCTAGAGCCTGGATTCAAATCCAAAGCTTGTGATCTTAACACAATGCTATATTGCCAGTCTCAAATTCCAAGACGAAAACCAGGCATTACTGTGGAATAAAAGCCAGAGGCAGTCTGTCAGTCTCTCTTAGGCAACATCGAGACTGAGTACTATTTTCAGATTTGCTCCTTATTATAACAAAGGCAGAGCCTGAGACTTGCATGCCAGACATGTTTTCTCTCTTTATTTATATCCACTTTAGAGGGTTGAAATGTCATCATACAGTTTCTTCCCCTACTGAGATGGCAGTTATGTAGAGTTTAGAAGCTGAGCTGGTCACTTCTGAATGTGATCAAATGTAATGAGATAATGGCAGAAAGTGGTATGCTACATCTACTACTCTTCACTCTTTGCTCTGCTTGTCAGATTCCCCTAGAACTTTCATGGTTTAGTTCCTGGTCATTAAAAATAATACATCAAGAACCCAACAGCGGTTCATATTTTCTCTTTTTTGTCTATAATGTAAATA